TTATTACGTTTTAATTTCTTGAAGTTTTGTAAAGGTTGGTTTGTACATGTATTTATAAACTTAATTTTCCTTATTTATTAATTGAAGTTTTATTTAGTAATTTAAGATATGTGAATCCTTTTATGGTATGAAAAAAAATATTTGTTTTATTTACTACTAACTTAAGAAATGTATTTTCTTAATAATGTCACCTAATAAATGTTTTGGGTAGAAAGGTGTTACATTTACAAACTAAAATTATTTTCATTCTCTTCCTTTCAATCTTTTTGTTTTTTTTTTTCAATAGCATTGTTATTATTATGAAGTATCACACACTTTCTCAATAAATAGTAATCTTTGTTGAAGAATGTAACTGTCTAACTGACCATCTTTAATGAGGCCTCCTCTTCAGATCACAGTTTTTTATACACAACGCAAACTAGCAGCTTATTAATTCTTTGATTGCTTCTATCTTACCACACAAGTAGAGAGAAAATATATATATATTTTTTTCTTTTATTTCTCTCCTAATTCTTTCAATCAAAACACCTTAAAATTTTACTTATTTTCTATTTATTCTTTGTTTTCCCTTGTCATATTCGAGATACATTGACATCATGCATGTGCAAATCTAAGAACTTACATCAAATCTTATATTTTCAATAACTTTTTTGTGTAATGCAAATTCAACTGATTAAACCGTTGACTTATGCGACATTTACTTGTAACATACTAAATTTCACATTATTTAAACTTTTCTAGATATTATCCAACAATAGATATATATACATATATTTTGAATATCATATTATACATTAAAATAAAGTAATGTGATGAATTATTAAATAATTTAATAATCATGTGAAATTTGGTACATATAATCATGAGTATAATAATATCATATAATTCAACTGTTAGATTGATTAAATTTATATTATACAAAACATTATTGAATATATATGATTTAATGTAAATTTTTAGACTTAGATAGTGTTAATGGATCCTAAACCTTTTCCAACTGAATCGGTTCGGATTGATCAACAACCTTTGAAAAGTATTTTACATTACATTAATGTTAATTATATTTGATATTTTTTATTCTATTATGTAATCTACATTATGCAAATTTTTTGAGTGAATTTAGAGACTTTAGTTTATATACAAGTAATAAAAGAAAATCACATAAATTAAGCATAAAAATTAATCATCTTTGAGTAATTAATTAGCATAATCTGAGCAATTACTATCAGCCTATTGATGAGAGTTGGATTAAAATACATAAAATCTTATATTTAAATCTTGTTATTATCATTGAAATTTTAATAGATAAAAAATTTAACATAATCCTTATGTGCAACGTCGGTCATTTTAGGGAGTTTTACGTCAGAAAACGGTGCGACGTAGAAGCGGGAGACGTAAATTTTACGTCGGGGGCGCGAAAACCGACGTAAATTTACGTCGAACATTACAAAGTCCGACGTAAAAAGTTGTAAAAAATTTATAAAAAAAAAAAAAAAAATGACTGCAAGCAGAACGGGCCGTTCTGGTTGGAGAACGGCCCGTTCTCCAAGCAGAACCGGCCGTTCTGAATGGAGAACGGCCCGTTCTAAATGGAGAACGTCCCGTTCTTCATGGAGCACGACCCGTTCTGCTGGGAGAACGGGCCGTTCTCCAACAAGAACGGCCCGTTCTGCTGGGAAAAAAATAGAATGCACAAAAACTCAGCTTCGAAAACTCAGAATGCACGAAGAAAGTAGTAAGTAGAAGAAGATGAGTTACCTTAAAGACCCTCACGAGGACAAATGCAACCTTAAACATGAAAAAATCCATTTTTTTCAGTGAGAAAACATTGTGTCATGTGAAGAAAACGAAAATAGGAAATGAATACCTTGCTGTGAAGAAAAGTGAAGAAAACGAAGAAAAGAGCAAGATGTAGATTAACGAAGAGCCACGATTTGAGAAGGAAGCGGGAGATGAGTTTGGGTTGAAAATTTTGAATTCTCCATGCGTACGTGAACGATTCTTTTATGCGGGAATACGAGGCTAATTTACGTCGGCCTGGTGGGGTCCGACGTAAATTAGCAATTCTACGTCGGCTTGTATACTGCTCCGACGTAGAATTGATAATTTACGTCGGACCCCCACCAGGCCGACGTAAATTAGTTCTCTTTATTTACCGTTCTGCCACCGCATTTTTTAACGTCGGTGTTAACCTATTTCGACGTAATTTAGGTGACGTAAAAGGCTCTTTTTGCACTAGTGTTAATCTTGTTAAAAGATCAGTAAACCTCTCATTCAATTAACCTTACAGGAGCCCATTGAAACAAAAACATCACTTAGCAATGAATGAAGAGTGTTCAGAGATGCAATGTTCAAGTGTGTAGTCCTTCGCAATAGGCAATGACGTTAAACAATACCAGGAAGGGTGACTTTTGGATTCCTATTTGTCTCTTCTAGATTATTGGTTCTATGTGTGATGGAATTTTCGTATGAGTTTGTAAACTTCTTCATGTTAGGGTGTTGTTTGATCTATAATTAAGATTCTTAAACCAAGTATTTTTAGTATACTTTTGATCCTTTGCACATGAATTGATCTATTTGGATATCTTTGTCTAATGCTTTCTTTTGGTAGTAATCAAATGATTGATATAATAGATATAATAAGTTTCATTGAAATTTGATTATGGAGTTTAAACTTAAAGCATGTGTTTTGTGTCTATTGGGAACGAGAATTAATCTATGTATTTAAGATTATTAACTAGAGAAATTCTACGGTACCCATCTTATTTGAGAGGGTACCGGTACAGTTTTTATATTTTATATTTTTAATAATTTATTTAAATAATATTTATAATATTTTATTCTTTTAATTTTTAAATTATTTAGTTATTTTATTTTTATTTTATATATTTTAATTTATTTGTAATAATATTATTATATATTTAAATAGTTTAATTTTAATAATTTTTTAAGTATATTTTTATCTTTTCACTTAAA